TTTTTTCTCTCCATTACACACTTTCTTAAAGCGCTTAAAAGAACAATAACAACAATCAGAAAAATGAAACAAAAAAAAAAAAATTTTTTAACAGTTAAAAAAACAAATCGTTTACTATAGAGAAGGTAACGGAAAACAATAAATCTGATAAAACTTTTTATTGTTTTTTTGTTTTGCTCTCTCTCTCTCTCGTTATTACCGTTGCTTTTACTAAATGTTCTCGTGTTTTTATTGTTTTTTTTCTTTATTTCTTAAATTGTTTTAAAGTAACTTGAGAATTTTAACTTTTTCGTTTTTATTTTTTTTTTATTTTCGCTTTAAATCAGAATTAAAAAGAGATAAAAACAATAAAATAGAAGAGATATAAAATAGGCGGAGAGTAAGAAAGAGGAACAATATTTTGTTTGTTTATTAAAAGCTTAGGTTAAGAAATATTTTCTTACTGTTGTTGTTGTTGTTGCTGTTTTTGTTACTATTGCTGCTATGCTGTTTTTGTTTCTTCTTCTTCTTTTTTTTTGTTTTTACAGTTTTCTGCTGTTGTTGACGATGTTAAAATTTATTTTTTGTTTCTATGTTTATATTTTTTTGATTTTATTGTCGATTGTTTGTTGTACATGTTATTATAGTAAATATATTATGTATGTGGGTATATAAAAGAAAATGAAAATAAATAATAGGTTTGAGAGGTTGTTTACCGTTATTATAAAGATTTTAAAGGGGATAAACTGGAAAAAAAATTAAGCTAAAAATTGAAATTTTTACAAAAGTTTTTGTTTTTGATATTAATTTCTTTTATTATGCCATTTTTTTCTCATTTATTTACTTATTTTAAAATTTTTTTATTATAAAAATAATAATGAAAGGTTATTTTTTTTTTGATATAAATTAAAAAAAATAAAAAATTATTTTTAAAAACCTTTTTGGAAAAGAAAAAAATACTATAAAAAAAAAATTTAGTTTATTGGAGTAGAAAACAAAATTCTTATCAACTTTAAGATCCTTCAATATTGTGTTCATTTTAATTAGAATTTCACGTCTACGCAAAAAAAAAAAAGAAAATGTTCAAAAGAAAATTTTGTTTATTCTTAAAATTTTAATTTTATAATATTTTAAAATTAAGTTGTTGTTGAAAATTTATAAAAAAACAATTTGTTATCAAAGAGATGAAAGAAATTTCTTTTTTTCTTTTGTGCGTCTTTTCGAAACCATCTGCACGCAAATCAATTAATTGAATTTTTTATTTTTTGTCAAGGTTGAAAATAACACAGGAATATTATTATATGGTATAGCAGAATTTCTTGAGAAAGATTAAGGTTGATAAATTGCCTGAAATATTTTCTTCGTATTATGTAAAATAAACAAGCTACTCACTATTATAAAACAAAAAAAAAAATTCGATGAAAATTTTAATTTTGCAAAAATTTTTTAACATAATTAAAAAAAAACACCTACAGTTATTTTAATAAAATTTTTTTTTTTATTAAGGATGGTTAATATTTTAATATTATGTAAAGGATTCACTCATACTTACATTTTAAATGTAAATTAATTGAACCATAATTAAGTATGAGTATTGAAAGTTAGTTTATAGGACAATAAAATATAATTGAAAAATCATTAAATTTTAATTATTATACGAAATGAAATTAGATTATAAATTACAATATTTGTTAATAAAATTATAAATTACTACTTTGTTAATACAATTTAACAAAGTGGTCGTTTATTTTAAAAATTAATATAGGCAAACATTCGATTTGAGTATTCCGTATATAACACTGAATAAAGTTGGCTAAAACCAATGGTTGAACAAGTGAAAATACTAGTTTTAAAAACAATCTATGTTACTTTTAAAAAATACCGTTTTTAGGATTTTAGGTTGGTGGGAGGTAGGTAATAATGTTCTTCTACGAAAGTAAGTTTCTAGAAGAGTTCTATGTATACATATAAAATTTCAGCTTTCTATCTTGACGAATGTAGAAGTTTTGTAAACGTGTCCATGGACGAAAAGACGGACGAACAGAGTGAAACTAATAAGCACTTTTTTTTCAAAAATTTTATGAAAAAGTGCTGAAAATTAAGAGAAAATATAAAACTTTTTGAATATTGTAAAAGTATGCAATAATACCCTTTTTACATTCGTTCTAGAATATGACTATGTTTACCATTTTGCTCTTTATGACTGCGATACAACTTACAGGTTAATAAAATAAGTAATGTAAAATCCAAAATTATGTTACCTTTTGGAAGGAATGGCTTGAAAAAGAAAGAAATACCTAAAAAAACTGAACTTCTGAGCTGAAAGTCTTTCAATTGAATTTACATTGAAAAACTGGACACCATTTTGGTAGCCAAAAAACATAACTACAACTATATATCTGGAGTAACTAAAAAAAACAATTACAAAATTAACAATATTTTTGCTTCCTTATTGAATATGTATTTATTCTGTGCTGGTATATGTAACTGATTTGTAACACATTTGGATTAGTGCATAACTCAAAATTTAACTAACACTCTCAAATTAGTGCATAACAATGAAAATTTAACTAAATATTATGACTACTCCTGCAACAGGAGATATTCAGTTACAACTCTCAGAGTAATGCTTTTTGTCCGTGCTGTAATGAACGAAAACAGCTTGTATTTTTTTTGCCGTATCAGATAACAGAATGGCAACTAAAGTTATGAATTCAGTGAAATAAAATATGGCAGAAAATATTATTTTCTCGCATTATTCTAATTTCTACCAGTTTTTATCTCTAGATTCATGCATCTCATCATTAATCCTATTTTGTACTACCAATCTGTTATTATATTCTATTTAATTAGCTTAAATACTAATATCACTAGCGCAAATAAATAAACAGCCTTAAAATTACATAAATTCTTTAAATTTTTCGTAACTTATGCCACTTAAAGACCGTATTACTTACCAATTTTACCTTAGCCTTTAATCACTTAATATATTTTCTAAAATAATTTAAAAGAAACTTTAAAAGAACAATAAACAAGCAACCAGAAACAAAACATCTTCTTCCTTTACAGCTCAAAGAAAAAAATTCAAAAAATCGCATTTTACTTATCTACAAATAAAACCTACTCGTATTTATCCTTATACTTGTTTATTATATTTTCCTTTTTATTTAAATTTCTTTTTGAAAAAAAAAAAAAACAAAAATTTACACACCATTTAAATGAAAAGAAACCAAAACAATTCAAATAGGATATTCAATTTCTTAATTAAATTTTTAGAAAATGTTATTCCTTATACAATTCTTTATTCTATGTTTCCATTTATTTCTTATAAATATATTATTATACTTTACCCATACTTAAATCCTATATACATATAAAATAATACACAATTTTTTTTTTTAGAATTTCCATATAAATGTTGCTGGAATCCTATAATACTCATAGTATTTAATTTCATGAGGGATTTGTAACAATTTTTTCAAACCTTTTAAGTGTTTCAATTAAATTTTGTTACATGTACATAGTGTGTATATGCATATATGTATAAGTTGTGTATTCGTATATTTAAAATATTTTAGATATTTTCACCTCAAGGCTATGTATATAAATGACAGGTGAAATGTACAATATATATTCAAAATATTCTATTAAATTTTACATAATATATTCATATTATGTACATTATTTCATACATATAATATATTTGTACATATATGTGGATGTACATGTGTGTAATAGGAGTAATTATTGATTTTACCATTTTAAAGACTTTATTTACATTTTTTATATACATTTGAAATTTAAATACTTTTAAATGTAAATTTTTGTTTAAAAAAAAAAGTATTGTGAGAACAAAAGAAAAATAAATATATTTACCTGTATTTAAAAAATATACATACATATATATGAATATCAGTAAGTAGATATATTGTATGAAGATGCGATGTATGTTGTACACATACAGTCTATGCAACGCACCATTATAACTTAAAGGACTGATTTTTTACTTTTATACTTATAGGAAAGAATGAATGAATGAAAAGGATATAAAATTTTATCTTTTTATTTTTCAAATCTATAAAACTCTTTGATGATAATTCCAAAAATAGACTAGACTAACTTGAACATAGTATTTAAAGAATAAATAAAAATTTGATTATAGGTGCATCTTAATTTTTTTTTTAAAAAATGAACTTTGTATGCAAAATATCAATTTACATAAAACTAGGTGTGAATTGGGAATTTGAACTAATAAAAATATTAAATATTAATTTAGAACCTGAAAAATTTAAAAGAATCCTTTTTATTTGTAAACTTACTTATTTAAATTTTGTAAGTAAAACTGAGTTTCTTTAGGTAACAGGTGCAACATTAAGTAAAAAATAGTTCTTAAACCCTTTCGATCCGGCTTTCAAATAGTGTAATTACCACATGTTTTACATCTGAGATCTATTTGCTGAAATTAGTACACCGAATCATGTCAAAACGAAAAGGCATAACAGAAAACCAAATACAATAACATTTTAAACTTTTAGCGATGTTTGGATTTTACTGTGATTTTACATATGTGTATCAGCCGGGTCGAAAGGGTTAAGGAAAAATGTATGTAGGGTGTTTTTTTAATTTTTGAATTAAATTTTTATAATTGTACTGGAAAATTTAATGGTTCTCCAATTAAATACCGATTTTGTACGTCCTTTAAGCCAAAAGTTGACTTCATAGTATATAATTAGTTTAAAGAAATTATAATTTATGAAAATTTCTGAAATAAATCGAATATTAATGGTATCAAATGAAAATTTACAGCAAGTCAGGCTTTTCTATTACAAAATACTCTTTTCATAAATTTGCTATGACTTCATTTATGATAATAAAGCCTAAATCCTTGAACATTATCCATGTTAAAATCAATGCTCATCATACACTATTCATGAACAATATTTGATCTCAAAATTTTTCCATACTACAATTTAAATATGAAGAATATTATAATAAGATTTTAATTAATTTTCGTTTTTAGAAATATCACAATTACAACCACCGAGATTTACAACGCAACCATCATCATCAGGATCAATAGTTAGTGAAGGACGTACGAAAATTTTACAATGTCATGCCTTAGGTAAGTAAAATTTTCAAAATTTTATTTAATCCCTTAAATTTTTAAAACACATTGTTTGCGTATAATTTGAATAATTTTGACTCAATTTAAATTACAGTTTTATGGAATATTGTATTGCAACCAATATGTTTTTAAATTTTCTATACAAAATATTTTTACTAAATAAAAAAACTTAAAATTTTTCAATTGAATGTAAGTATATAGTTCAATGTTACAATAGTTTGATAATTTCCATAAAAGACATTGAATTTTAAAATATGCATAAAACAAAAATAATATAAAAAAACTTAAAATATCCTTAAAATTATCCTTGTAATCCTACTTTGGACTAAGTAATATTTAAAAATTTATATTAAATAGAAAAATTTTTTTTTATTTTGCTAAGTTTCCATCCTTTTTGTTGTTCTTTTGTAAATTTTTAAATTACATCTATTGTTAAATTTTGAGCAGAACACCCATTTTAACTTCCTCATATAAAAGCAATCAGAACATTCTTATATAAAATTTTCTACTGTTTTGTCTTTTAAAATGAGAATATGTAAATTTTACTGCAATTTTTACTTGGAATAAAAAACAAAAGAATAAATTTTATTTTTATTTATTCTAATAAAAATTCTTAAACAATTTTCGCGTCCTTTTGATTTTTAACATGAAAAAGCACACGAAGCGATAAAAGAAGCAAAAGCAAATTATTATTTTCTAAATTTTAACAGTGTCAATTATTTTAAATTCAATTTGTACAATATAGAATCTTTAATGTAATATTATAATGAATTTACAGTAAATTTGCATACTTTTAGGTTCATAAATTTGCTTTATTTATTTTTATCACTATCAAGGTCTTATTTCAAATTTTCTTTCTGTAAATTGTGTAAAAATTAAAAAATTCACACAAATTTGCCCAAAAAAAATTGGCAGGATTGTTACCAAATTTTCCATATGTTTTTCTCATGAAAAATTAAATTAAACCAATCGAATTAGAGAAATCCATTTTAGTTTTGCCCAGCCTATATACATCTATGTATTTATGTGCATTCAATAGTGATCTTTGATTTTTTTTCCCCAAAAATTTTAATATTTTTTTTTAAATTTACATAAGCATTTTTGTTTTTGTTTTATAACACCAACTTACTTTAAAAATTAAAATTTTATGCAATATTATGTACCAACTTCAAGCACTTTTAACTACATCTCTTCGGGGTAATAACATAGTCCAGTTTTTTGTCTTTTACTTTAGTTTTTCTTTGTCATTATTTTCTGAAAAAAAAAATACCTGTCATTTATATTAGATCCTTGTTTTAGCAAAAAATAGAAAAAAAAAAGCAAAAACTATTTTTTGTTAACTATTTTCTAAAGCCCTGTACATAATCATATACACACACATTTTTATATGTAACATCAAAGCAATATATGCATATAAATAAATTTATAAAGCTTTCACATACATATATGTATATATATATATGTGCATAAAGGATAATATACGAAAAATTTACTGAGGTGAAAAACAATTTTCTTTATTTTCAAAATTTACGTGTATTTAAGGGTATTTAAGTATATAAATATCCTTAAAAAATAAGAAATAAAAAAAAGAAACAAAAACAAAACATGGAACTACACATTTTTATTCTAATGAATAATTCAAGCTTTTTTTTCCTTATAGAAAACAAAAACAAAAAAAAAAAACATATTTACAATGTACACAGTGTGTTCATTTCTATTTTTTGTTCATAATATTTAAATGGAAAATTGAAACAAATATTATAGAGAAAATGAGGAAAGTATAAAGCCTAGTATCCTAGTTTTTCATATATACATATATAATTTTTTTGTTTGTTTTAAAGAAATTGTAATGTTTTCTTCTTTTTATCTTGTTAAATGGAAATGGAGAAAAAAAAACTAATAAAAAAGAAGGAATAAAAAGAAAGTTGTCCTTTTATTCTTACAAAAGAAAAACTAAGTGAATTCTCCCTTGTAAAAAGAAGGAGTTTGAAATAAAAATTGCAGTTAATCAATTCCATGTTTGTAAAACAGCACATTTCCTTCTAAAGACTTTAGTCTAAGGCTTTCACTTATGCACTTTTTTGCATAATTTTCAAAAATGTTATATTGGGATAGAATTGTCAAATAGGCGGACAAAAATTGATATTTCTAAATTTGAAATACTTTGGGAAGAGAGGAGGCAGCAAAGTAAGAAAGCCTTATATAAAAATTAATTGGTGCCTATGCTTACGTGGTCTTTAAAGATTATTAAAATTTAAGTCTCTTCCAAGTGTTCATTAATGAAAGAAAATACTTAAGATGGTGAAAATTTGTAATAAGAATTCAAGAAAAATTGATTTAAGATGGTGATTATTATGTGAAATGAGTTTTATATTATGTGATTCAGCTCATAACATCGTAAAAATGTTAAGCAAAATTGTTTTCCACCTATTTTGGAAATATGCGAAAAAGTAAATGTTTGTAATTGGCACTTCTTATTTTTCCATTAAACCTATTTTGTTGAAATATAAGTGCTCATATTTTTCTTCTTAATTCTTAAAAACCAATTTTATTATTTTAATCACGCATGTGTCTATCAGCTGCAAAATACTAAGGCTGCCTTAAAATATTATTCGACAGTCAACATAAATACAAATGATGAGTACCGCAATGACATCGAGGTAATACAAATGCAAGACATAAATGTCGATTTGTGGAATACTATCAGTTTTCAGTATTTTCCGTTCAATTAATAAAATTTGAGAAGAATTTGTATCATACAAATTGTTTGGACGGCGACAAAATTTCTATTCTGTGCAAAATACACTACAGCTCTGAATTTATATTACAACACTTCTATAAAATAACGAATACTTGCAACCCATATTGAATTAAACCAAACTTATAAACAAGAAATGTTTACTTGATAAATTCCGAATTTTTTTACTAACTTCCTCTTTATATATTCTACATTTTTATTTAAAACAATTGCAAAAATTTATACAAAAACAAATTTTTAACTAAATAAAAGTAAAATCTGATGGTATATAAGGTAAAATATAAGCCTATATTATTTTTCATATAGCTTAAAAATAGTATTTTATTTATTTTTGTTCTCTTTTTTTTAAATAAGGATATAATAAGCCCTCCTTTATATTATCCTCTTTTTAAATAAACTAACCGAGTTCATTATTATTTTATCTTGTTATAGTTTCCATTTACACTATTTTATAGTATGTAGATATTTACTTATATATAATATATGTATGTACAGACATGTATGAATGTATGTATACTTCATACATTTTTTGTTTCGCTTTCTATATTGTGTAACATATTTACAGGCTATTAACACTTATTTAGTATTTCAATATATTTATATATAAAGAAAAACATTTTTAATATACTGAAATTTTATAGTTCCGGATAAGTTATTTGAATAATTCAGATGTTCGAAATCAAAATTTTCTAAAATTTTGTATGATTACTTAAATTTATGTAGAGTGAAAATAAAATGAGGGTTCTTAAATCTAATGTAATTAATTTCAATTTACTATTTTGTTTTTTGAAAAATGTCTCGATTCTTACACCACACATACTTTATTTTTGCATATCTTGACTTTCATACAAATTCTTTATAGTTGACTTAAAAACTTAATTTCATGACATACAAGTTTGATTTCTTGATTTCCGTGTAAGTTTAAATGTTTGCAAAGCGGTATGTAAATTAAATTATAAGTTTTTACTTTACACAAAAAAAAATATTTTAAGATTTATAAAAGTTCTTTTTATTTCATTTATTAATTAATTACACTTTAATTTCCAATTCCAAACTTATTAAATTAAACTATAAGTTTTTACTTTACACAAAAAATATTTTAAGATTTATAAAAGTTCTTTTTATTTCATTTATTAATTAATTACACTTTAATTTCTAATTCCAAACTTATTAACTTTATTTTTAAATCTTTATTTTCTAAACGGCAAAACGATTTAATAACTAACGAGCTACTGAATTACCAACCAAGCCAAATTGCTATTGAATTTACTCTATTTATAAGAAATAACTGTTTAGTAAGCAAAAAATTGTTTAGAATAATTCTCATGGGAAAGTTTTAATATTGTAATTTGAATATTTGGAACTTTGCTTTAGTTTTGTCTGTAAAAGTTCAATCACGTTGCAATTAAATGATTTCATATAGGAGTTTAATTGCAACGTTGAATTTTAATTTTAATTTAAAATAAATATTTTGTTTTTGTCAAATCACGTTGCGATTAAATGATTTAGAATAGGTTTAAGTAATAAAGTATGGAAATTTGATCGCAACGTTCGATTTAATTTTAGTTATAGTTAAATTTTATTTTTTGGTGTTCCGGGCGTAAGCGAATATATAACTCCCCCCTCGTTAAGCTGGAAGCTCTCCTGAGCTCCAGAGATTATATTTCCTTTACTATTATTTTCATTTGTATCGTTTGGCCGTTTTTTACATTTATAAAATTTTTTCATATAGTATTTTGTAATAAAAATTATTAAAAGCAATATAATAGAGATATTTGACAGTATTAAAATATAATGGTTTTTAATTTCAAATTTTACAAATTCTATTTCATTGTAATTTTCAATTTGCTTCAAATTAATATTTTCTAAATTTGGTATATAACTAACATTATAAGGTTCTAAATAGTTTGGTATTATTATGTGGTTGTTAATTTTTCTCTCTATGTTTTTGAATATTACGTCATCTATTTTTATAGTGCAATTATAATATGTAATTAAGTTAGTTTTAATTAGTTTGTATTGTATGTTATTACAAGTATTTTCTAACATTACATTATTTGCATTTTTTACTAAGATAATATTAGATGAAACTTCCACAATCTCAAAATTAATATTTTTTCTTTTTGTACAATTCTTAAAATTATTATTCATTAAATTTTTTATACAACCATTTATTACTTTTAGTTTATTTTCACAATTCTGTTTATTATTAAAGTAAATTTCATTTTTAAATTTCAAT